GGGGGGGCTGCGGCTTCTTCAGCCCAGGAAGGGGGAAAATGAGGCCGGAGCATCTCTCCATCAGCCGGGCTGTCCCGCACCCGCCGGGGTAAGTGCCTCTCGCCTCTTGTCGCCTTCTTCCCCGGCGCGCGTGGGCAGGTTTCGGAGGACGGGAGGGGGGTGTGTGGTCTCTGGGTGTGTGCATGTATGTGCTCGATGTGTGCGCGTGCTCTGTGTGTGTATGTGCATGTGCTCTCTGTTTGTCCGCTGTATGTGTGTGCGTGCGTGTGTTCCCAGCGTGCTGTGTGTGTTACGTGCGTGTGTGCTCCCTGTGTAAGTGCTTGGGGTGTGTAGGTGTGTCGATGCGCTCTCTCGGTGTGTGTGTGCATGTGTGTGAATATGTCCTCTGTATGTGTGTGCGTGCGTGGGGGGGGGAGTTATATTCTCAGTGTTCATCTCTAGGAACCGAGCAGATGCACCGGCTCCTGCAATTTTATCTCGTCATGACGGGGGGAGGAAAAGCAAAGCCCCCCACCCCCCAGCCAGGGTGAAATGAGCCCAGCCGAGCCAGTCCTGCTGCTGCCTCTCTCTCAGCGAGGGTCTCCCCTCCCTGCCACCCCACCCCCTTCCTCCCCAGATTTGCTTTTAAAGGTCGGATGATAATGTAATACCCTTTACAAGCACGATAGATGCCCATCGGGTTTCCAGCACACGCACAAAAACAAAACCAAAAAAAATCCCTCTTATTTGCAAGCAATCGTGACTAGCCGTCAGGGCGCCTGACACGTTTGTGACACCACCAGCAGGGATTCAGCAGCCAGATCTTCCTCGTCTGCCCCCCTCCAGCTCCCTTTGCAAACCCGGGAAGCAACTGGCAGCGTGTTGCAAAGCCAGCGGCACGTCTCCCCCCGCCCGGGCAGCAGCTGCGTGGGACCGAGCCCCACGGGCGGGCGTGGGGAGGGCTGGGCCGCCTGGCCTTGCAACGCAGCGGGCTTTCGAGGACGAGGTGAAGCGTGGATGAA